GCAGGAACTGGGGTGATGGTTGTGTATTCCCAGATATCTTAAACCACAAGCAATATACCTTTGTCAGTATCAGAGAGAACACATGAAATGTAAACCTGGTAGTTTGGGGAGTAACGCTGCACCGGGAGAGAGTACACAGGTGTAGGGAGAGAGTACAAAGGTGTAGGGAGAAAGTACACAGGTGAAGGACGGGAGAGTACACAGGCGATCAAACAGCGGACGGACACTCAGAAATGTTCCAGCGAGCACAAACATGAAATAATTAGTAGTCCCAGAACACGAGTCTGGACAAAACTTCTACAAATATCAGAAGAAAGTTTGTGTAAAACACGCAAAAGAAAAAAAACTGCGGCGAGAAGACAAAACTTGAAATCCAGGAAAAGTTTAATCAGTGATATTTGTCAAAACTTGTGAGACAAGTTGTTTGAGTGTGAGGCGGGCTGATAGCGCGTCAAGGCCCTCTGGGAGGAGCACCACCACCACCAGCCACAGCACTACCACCACCACCACCACCACCAGCCACAGCACTACCACCACCACCAGCCACAACACTACCACCACCACCACCAATACCAGGCAACAGGAGCAGCAGCAAGACGTCCTGGTAACATCGTTCCTTGGCCAGCACTCAACACGATGTGAGCTGCACACTACCATCATAATGTATGTATCCGGAAATATCCTGGGGTGCTGGGCTGGGGAGAGGGGGGGTGTTAGGGTGCTGGGCTGGGGAGAGGGGGGGTGTTAGGGTGCTGGGCTGGGGAGAGGGGGGGTGTTAGGGTGCTGGATGGGGGAGGAGGTGTTGGGGTGAGGGTGCTGGCTGGGGAGGAGTAACACATAAAATAATGCTGGCTGATAACGCGAACATTATGAGTAGAATAAAAGCGGACGAAAACGAGATGCTACAGGGAAATTGGGACAAACTGCAAACAATGGTCATACAAATGGCAGCACTCCAGCTAATGGAAAGTAAAGTCAAGAAAATGGGTGCTAGGAAAGTCTCCAAGAGTCGAACAGATTAAGGAACATACTGATCTGTTTGTCTGTGAGAAGTCCTCTACTTCCACACCCACTCGTGTTGGTAACATAGAAGAATACACTCACACGAGAAATTGTGGGAGAAAGCCTCTAGCTCAGTCCCAGAAGGATACATACTGGCCTCACCAGTCGCTCATAGGATCCAACTAGGATCTCCCAGCAGTCATAAGTGGGTTCATACAAGAATCCGCACTGACCCTGGGAGACATTAGTGTGGTCCCACAAGACCAGTACTGACCCCCGGCAGACACCAGCAGTGTCCCACAAGGACCAATACTGACCCGGACAATACTGAGTCCCACAAGACTCAGTATTGACTCCACCAGCAACTAGCTGGTCTTACGACTGGCCTCTTCATAAATTATGTGATTAATGAGCTTGAAGAAGAGGCTTTATGTGAACACTATTGAATGCTCGACGCCGAGCAGCCTGGCTATGGAGGGAGTGTACTGCTGCGGGATGATTTACCGCGGCATAAATGAACTCTCTGGTCAAGGGTTGTGTTTACCGACGATGATTCACTGATGATGTCGGTGCCAACACCTTTAAAACTTTTCAGTTTCGCATTAGTTCTCTCGTCGCACCAAACATAAACATTCTATAGATGTAAAGAGAGGAAATGATTACCCGTTCCTCCCCTTAAAGGAACCCGCAAATGTGAACACGTGGTTCAAAAGTTCCTACACATTAGGAGTTCAATATCTGATACGCTGCTGACAGCAAGTCTCAACAACGGGGCTAACAATTATAGACACCCAGCCCACATATCTTAAATTAAAGGAAATATCAACGTTTCGGTCCGTCCTGAACTGGACTTGATAACGGTCAAGAACGCACCGAAACGTCGCCACTTGTTAATGGCCCACGACGGACCGAAACTTCATCGCTTCCTTTCTTTTCAGATGTGTGGGTTGAGTGACTAATCTGATCAAGGTTGTCTGGCTCTGAGTAACAAATGACATGATGCACAAGCTGCTCCGCCGTGGTAATACACGGGATACGCTTCTTGCCCAGGAAACATTACGCCGAGAGGAGTAGCATCGCTATACGTAGTTAAGAGACAATGTTGATATGTGAAAATAGTCCATGGTGGGAAGCATTAAGGAGCGATGTGTTCTGGCACAAAACAACACTACTTGAGACTTGATCTGCTGTGGAACAATTTATAATTTGTTCACCTCTGCAACAAGCTGTTAACAAACTCCGCAGAAGTTAACATTCCAGACACAACGAAGTTACGTCACATGACGAAAGTTCTCAACTACTTTTCTAAAATTTGTCGACCAATTTAGTGATAGTGCCAAGAGCAGCAGCGCTGCCGGGCGACTCTTGTACTAAGATATGGCTCCTTCCCAACGACACCATCAGGAGTGGTGAGCAGCCCACGTCGCCGGCCCGGCCCATCTCTTGCCTCACTTCCACACATCGCCCCAGCTCACCATCATCGCCCAGCTCATCACCATCATCGCCCCAGTTCACCATCATCGCCCCAGCTCACCACCATCGCCCCAGCTCACCATCATCGCCCCAGCTCACCACCACCACCATCGCCCCAGTTCACCATCATCATCGCCCCAGCTCACCACCATCGCCCCAGCTCACCACCACCACCATCGCCCCAGCTCACCACCATCGCCCCAGCTCACCACCATCGCCCCAGCTCACCACCATTGCCCCAGCTCACCACCATCGCCCCAGCTCACCATTATCGCCTCAGCTCACCATCATCGCCCCAGCACACCATCATCGCCCCAGCTCACCACCATCGCCCCAGCTCACCACCATCGCCCCAGCTCACCATCATCGCCTCAGCTCACCATCATCGCCCCAGCTCACCATCATCGCCCAGCTCACCACCATTGCCTCAGCTCACCATCGTCGCCCCAGCTCATCACCATCATCGCCCCAGCTCACCACCATCGCTTCAGCTCACCATCATCGCCTCAGCTCAACATCATCGCCCCAGCTCATCACCATCATCGCCCCAGCTCACCACCATCGCCCAGCTCACCACCACCATCGCCTCAGCTCAACACCAACAGCAAATATCTGCACTTGAGTTTCGTGGTGTTGACAACTATACATTTAGTGTTTTACTGTTATTTTAACTGTCTCCGCTTGGTTGTAGTCTTACCTTGGAGTTGTTCCGGGGCTTAGCGTCCCCGCGGCCCGGTCGTCGACCAGGCCGCCTCGTTGCTGGACTGGTGAACCAGGCTGTTTGACGCGACTGCTCGCAGCCTGATGTATGAATCACAGCCTGGTTGATCAGGTATCCTTTGGAGGCGCTTATCCAGTTCTCTCTTGAACACTGCGAGGGGTCGGCCAGTTATGCCCCTTATGTGTAGTGGAAGCGTGTTGAACAGTCTCGGGCCTCTGATGTTGATAGTTCTCTCTTGAACACTGTGAGGGGTCGGCCAGTTATACCCCTTATGTGTAGTGGAAGCGTGTTGAACAGTCTCGGGCCTCTGATGTTGATAGAGTTCTCTCTCAGAGTACCTGTTGCACCTCTGCTCTTCAACGAGGGTATTCTGCACATCCTGCCATGTCTTCTGGTCTCATGTGATGTTATTTCTGTGTACAGGTTATCTCGCCAAGACTGTCGGTGCCAGGACTTCCTCAACTCCTCTTTCACTAGATATATAATTTGTATCTTTCCTTATTTTAATTACGCATATCATGTTTGCTTGGATCCATGTTAATTATATGGTCTTCCCGGCTTGAGACCTTCCCTTGGTAATCACCTGCTTGGACTGGTGGTAGAGCTCCGGCCACGCTTCTTGCAAGGGTCGCGTTCGATCCCGGATGGTGCAAGATGTTGGTCACCGTTCCTTCTCCTCGTCCTCATATCCCAACTCCTATCCTATCCTCATATCCCAGCTCCTATCCTCATATCCCAGCTCCTATCCTCATATCCCAGCTCCTATCCTGTCCCCATATCCCAGTTCCTATCCTGTCCCCATATCCCAACTCCTATCCTGTCCCCATATCCCAACTCCTATCCTGTCCCCATATCCCAACTCCTATCCTGTCCTAATGTACAATTCATGTGGTGTATAGTGATACCCGCATTACACTTTCTCCTCATAAGTACCTCACAAGTGCCTTCATTTTCTACACGTTTTCTCTACACATCTCATAACACAGACTCGACTCGAAAATGGGTGTGAGTGAGAGTCAAATCTTCACTCTTCCTCTGTGTTATGTCCATGTGTGTAAATTGTGGATAAATTCTCAAATAAAATCAGTTTCATGAAATTGCTCGCCATTACAGAAGACTTGCTGACTCTTCTGCATAAGATTGTCTTGTGTTTATACAGTCTGGTGTCAAGTGCTGTTCAAGTGTTGTGGTAGAGGGGTAGTGTGGTGTCAAGTGTTGTGGTAGAGGGGTAGTGTGGTGTCAAGTGTTGTGGTAGAGGGGTAGTGTGGTGTCAAGTTCTGTGGTAGAGGGGTAGTGTGGTGTCAAGTTCTGTGGTAGAGGAGTAGTGTGGTGTCAAGTTCTCTGATAGAGGGGTAGTGTGGTGTCAAGTTCTGTGGTAGAGGGGTAGTGTGGTGTCAAGTGTTGTGGTAGAGGGGTAGTGTGGTGTCAAGTTCTGTGGTAGAGGGGTAGTGTGGTGTCAAGTTCTGTGGTAGAGGGGTAGTGTGGTGTCACGTTCTGTGGTAGAGGGGTAGTGTGGTGTCAAGTTCTGTGGTACAATGGGTAGTGTGGTATGAAGCCTTATGATAGAATGGGTTGCATGGTGGCGAGAATAGGTTGGTGCGACAAGGTACACTGATACGGTTTAGTGATCAGTTGTGGACATGTGTAACCCGCCTGAGCAGCGGCAGGTGAGCCACCTGGAGGGACGTGTTGTGGCAGGTCACTGGCATGAGCACCGTGGCGGGAGGAGGTGGCGCGTCCGCCCCTGTGCCCGTGGTGTCGGAGCTCAACAGGTGCAACAGCCCAGGTGTTGCTATTAGGGCGAGTGTGGCAGGTGTTGTGGGCAGTAGTAAAAGCTACAGCTTGTGGTCAGCTGTCCGGCTGGGGTAGAGGTGTGCACCCGGGCGGAGGAGTGGCCAGGGGTGCTGAGGGCACGTCTGGGAGGAGCTATGCCATAACTGGAGCGGTGATTGGCTGGCCCGTGGGGTAGACTCCTCCCACCTCGGCTACACTCGGCCACGCGCGTCCCGCCCCAAGGCTGAGGCTGCGGTGGTTTCAGTGTTTTGCTGAGCGGCGTGTGTGTGTGCCATGAGTGAGCCAGGTCACCGGCGGGCGACCTGACCTGATCAGTGAGTGAACCAGGCCATCATGGGTCACGGGGCGCGCGCGCGATGCCACTGGTGGGGCTCGGGAACCCCACACCTGTGCTGGAAACAGGTGTACACCTGTTTGATCATTTTGACCGTGTTGAGTGGGTCGTTTGTGCAGTGTTGCGGGCCTGGTCGCGGCGGGGGTCGGCGGCGCTCCCCCCGCAAGCTGAGGCCGCTCGTGTTCAAGCAACATGTTCCCAACGTGTCGGAGAAGACCCTAGGCGCCTCAGGTCTGACGGAGGGACCCATCACCAGAGACGACCCTCGCTTCCAAAACCTCGTTCCTAATTACAATTCTGACATCATCTTTAAGGACGAGGAAGGCACTGGAGCCGACAGACTAATGACAGAGGTCAGTGTTATTGGCACCCTATACTGTCACTCACTGGCATTAGGTCAGTGTTGGTGGCACCTTATACTGTCACTCACTGGCACTAGGTCAGTGTTGGTGGCACCGTATACTGTCACTCACTGGCACTAGGTCAGTGTTGGTGGCACCTTATACTGTCACTGGCACTAGGTCAGTGTTATTGGCACCCTATACTGTCACTCACTGGCATTAGGTTAGTGTTGGCGGCACCTTATACTGTCACTCACTGGCATTAGGTTAGTGTTGGTGGCACCTTATACTGTCACTCACTGGCACTAGGTCATTGTTGGCGGCACCTTATACTGGCACTAGGTCAGTGTTATTGGCACCCTATAATGTCACTCACAGGCACTAGGCCAGTGTGATGGTGGCACCTTATACTGCCACTCACTGGCACTAGGTCAGTGTTGGCGGCACCTTATACTGGCACTAGGTCAGTGTTATTGGCACCCTATACTGTCACTCACTGGCACTAGGCCAGTGTTAGTGGCACCTTATACTGTCACTCACTGGCACTAGGCCAGTGTTAGTGGCACCTTATACTGGCACTCACAGGCACTAAGAGGGTTAGACGTGTCATTCTTATACCAACAAAACAAGCTTCAATCTCAAGTATGTCTATATAATATAACAGATAATCATGTATCACCAAAAACAAGGGAGGCAGCAATCTTATCATGCATGTGGCACTGGCGCCGTGATGGGTAGTGGTCCTGGGGGTGTAGCCCCTGGCGTCAGGAGTCACTGTAGTGCTCATCCTGGCGTCAGGAGTCACTGTAGTGCTCATCCTGGCGTCAGGAGTCACTGTAGTGCTCATCCTGGCGTCAGGAGTCACTGTAGTGCTCATCCTGGCGTCAGGAGTCACTGTAGTGCTCATCCTGGCGTCAGGAGTCACTGTAGTGCTCATCCTGGCGTCAGGAGTCACTGTAGTGCTCATCCTGGCGTCAGGAGTCACTGTAGTGCTCATGCTGGCGTCAAGAGTCACTGTAGTGCTCATGCTGGCGTCAGGAGTCACTGTAGTGCTCATGCTGGCGTCAAGAGTCACTGTAGTGCTCATCCTGGCGTCAGGAGTCACTGCAGTGCTCATCCTGGCGTCAAGAGTCACTGTAGTGCTCATGCTGGCGTCGGGTCACTGTAGTGCTCATGCTGGCGTCAGGAGTCACTGTAGTGCTCATGCTGGCGTCAAGAGTCACTGTAGTGCTCATGCTGGCGTCAAGAGTCACTGTAGTGCTCATGCTGGCGACAGGAGTCACTGTAGTGTTCATGCTGGCGTCAAGAGTCACTGTAGTGCTCATGCTGGCGTCAAGAGTCACTGTAGTGCTCATCCTGGCGTCAGGAGTCACTGTAGTGCTCATGCTGGCGTCAGGAGTCACTGTAGTGCTCATCCTGGCGTCAAGAGTCACTGTAGTGCTCATCCTGGCGTCAAGAGTCACTGTAGTGCTCATGCTGGCGTCAGGAGTCACTGTAGTGCTCATGCTGGCGTCAAGAGTCACTGTAGTGCTCATCCTGGCGTCAGGAGTAACGGTTGTTATCGTGTTAGAGGGGAATATATATCATTGGTATAGTGTTATAGGGAATATATATATATATATATATATATATATATATATATATATATATATATATATATATATATATATATATATATATATATATAATGGGTATGATAATGTTTGTGGGGATATATGTCGTTGTCATAGTGTTGGAGTTTACATCCGTCAAGATGTGTGTCATTCTCCTGGTGTTTGAAGGTTCATCCGTCAGGATGTGTGTGTCGTGTGGTTGTAAAGTGGATGTGCAGCACACGCGAGCAGCACCAACACATCTGCCTCTCATCTTCCTCCTTTTCCTTAGTCCTCTCCTAAACCTTATCCTCGTAGCTCTTCCATGTGATATATAGTCGTAAAGGGTTCGCGCTTTCTCCTGATTATCACCTTACTTGACCTCTTCAATATTTGATACTTGTGTCTCTGTTTTAACACCTCCTGGTTGTCATAGCATGTGTGTATATTTTACAGTCTTCCTTGACAGGTATTTTTACAGTCTTCCTTGACAGGTATTTTTACAGTCTTCCTTGACAGGTATTTTTACAGTCTTCCTTGACAGGTATTTTTACAGTCTTCCTTGACAGGTATTTTTACAGTCTTCCTTGACAGGTATTTTTACAGTCTTCCTTGACAGGTATTTTTACAGTCTTCCTTGACAGGTATTTTTACAGTCTTCCTTGACAGGTATTTTTACAGTCTTCCTTGACAGGTATTTTTACAGTCTTCCTTGACAGGTATTTTTACAGTCTTCCTTGACAGGTATTTTTACAGTCTTCCTTGACAGGTATTTTTACAGTCTTCCTTGACAGGTATTTTTACAGTCTTCCTTGACAGGTATTTTTACAGTCTTCCTTGACAGGTATTTTTATAGTCTTCCTTGACAGGTATTTTTACAGTCTTCCTTGACAGGTATTTTTATAGTCTTCCTTGACAGGTATTTTTATAGTCTTCCTTGACAGGTATTTTTACAGTCTTCCTTGACAGGTATTTTTACAGTGTTTCTTGACAGGTATTTTTATAGTCTTCCTTGACAGGTATTTTTATAGTCTTCCTTGACAGGTATTTTTCCAGCACCTTCAGTCTTGACTGTCCATTCAGTTCATAGGTCGCATTTTTTACGGAATCGACCAATCCGTTAAAAATGAGAGATATTAGTTCAAATTAAATCACCGAAATATTGAGGATTTTTATGCATGGGCGGCGATGCACTAGTGAGCTTGCTCGGGTTCATTCCTTGGTCCCATTGTAACTAACAGAAATTCACTCATTCCGTCATAGTTCCTTCAGTATTACAGCTTCTAGGCTTCCTTACCACTGCTGTCGTCTGCGTCCCCACCTCGTAGGTGAACGACCATCACTATACAGTGATCGCCCACTATCTTGAGGTTATCTTGAGATGATTTCTGGGCTTTTTAGTGTCCCCGCGGCCCGGTCCTCGACCAGGCCTCCACCCTCAGGAAGCAGCCCGTGACAGCTGACTAACACCCAGGTACCTATTTTACTGCTAGGTAACAGGAGCATAGGGTGAAAGAAACTTTGCCCACTGTTTCTCGCCGGCGCCTGGGATCGAACCCAGGACCAAAGGATCACAAGATCAGCGTGCTGTCCGCTCGGCCGACCGTCTCCCTAAATGGAACTTACAAAATTTAGTATATGTGTTTTCTCCTAGTCGTAGTATTCGTCGCTGAATACAATGGCTCACAACTATTTGTAAGTTATTATAACCGCGTTTCAGACTTTGTAATTAGCCTTGATTATCTTACCTCACGACTTCAGGAATCAGGACTATCATTCAGGAAGGTTACTTAGCATCCACCTGCGTCGCCATCTTCACATTCCACTCATGACAAATAACTAGGAATTTTCTCTTAAATATTAGTCGTGATCATATCTCCCCTGTTTCTTCTTCTACAGTGACGAGGCGGTTAGTTTCTTGAGTCTTTCCTCGTAACTCATGTCTCTCGACTACGGTATTAAGCTGGTAACATATCTCTGCCCATTATCCAGCTTTGGTATAACTCGTTGTATGCAATCCTGAATGACTCTTCACTCTGATGTATGAAGGAAGTTCTGGTTAGTCAGTCTCATACATGTAGATGATGATGTGTGACCGGGCGTGTGTTTGTGTGTGCGGAAGTTTGTGTTGCTGACCTTTTAGTGTTGGCCTATAAGGTCCTATGGGTGGTGACATGTGGTGTTCCACTTCCACATCCTTGCTCTCTATATTTTGTATTTATATCTCCCGACCATCTACTATTCGCTTGTAGTAGTAGATGGTCTACTCGTAAGATTGTGAATGGCGGTCGACCTTGTCATAATTATTTATTCGAGTAAGTATCTTGAGGGTTGTGAACATATTCCCTCAGCTACTCCTCTCTAGGGTTGTCAGAGCAGTGGCCTTAAACTGTCCTGTTAACTCAGTCCTCTCATTTCTAGCACAGTTGTAAGTTTCTTTTTTTGTGCTTCGCGAAGTGTGATTCCATGCGGGTACTGTTTACTCTAGGAACCGTCTCAAGTAAATTAAATATATGCTCTTGAAATTGATTTTGTTTTATATTTAAATGATGTTAATTTGTTCGCTAGTTCTCCGTGTGTTGCTGACGTCACAATTTTTAAGTTAGGCATCTCCCTTAATATTGTTGGAATATTACCCAGTCTCTAGCCTTGTTCTCTCTCTAAATCTTTTAATTGTTTCCCACTTACATTGTAGGTTCCTTGTCATCTTAGTCTTCAATTCCCATCTTCAGTATCTTACAACCATTAGTCTGCCTACTTTCTCTAACACTCTGTAATCTTTCACTGTGTTTATGTTCCTCAACTTTGCATCATCTGTAAACATTAACATGCACGAGATCACTCCCCTGAATAGGTCGTTTACAGAGATTGGAAACAGCATTGGTTCTAGGGCAGAGCTTTGTGGGACCTTGCTTTCAACTCCTCTGCAGCCTCACATCTTTTTCTGGCGATAACCTTTTGTTTCTAGTCCGTTAGATTAGTATCATTGCGTTTCTCTAAATCTTAAACACTAGCTCTTTGTGAGGGAAGAGTATCGAAGGTGTTTTGACAGTCTAGGAAGATGCAGTCTACCTAACCTTCTTTGTCTTCGCATTTTGGGTGATCTTGTCAAAGAATTATCTAGTTTGTCAGGCAAGACTTTCTCTCACTGAAACCGTGTTGCTTCTTATTACAAAATGTATTCTAATTCTCTGCCATTATCTTTAAAACTACTTTTTTCTGAATTTTGCAAGTAATGTGTTTTAGTAATAACAGTCTATAGTTAAGTGTTTTCTGTTTGTTTCCTTTCTTGAACATTGGGAAAACATGTGCCTTTTTCAAGATTTCCGGGAGCCACCGTGTCTAATGCTGTACTTCAAACTGAAATTAACACAGAAGACCTGAAGCCTCATTCAGCTACCATGATGATACTTGACGTGG